CGGAGTAATGAAAATGGCACTCAAATCCTTTACCCACTTCCCTCCAAGGCAGTCATCATTTTGATGCCAGCTGCCCTAAAACAAAATCGTTTTGGCTGTCCAGGTTTCCTCCGTAAATTGGAGCCACATCTGGTCTTCACAGAGAGCCAGGCATTCCAGGAACTCATAATTGAGGGTCCAGGTTCAAGCCACCAGCTGGCAGCATGTTCTCCTGGGAGAGTGTCCTGGGCAAAAGCTGATCTCCACAGTAGTGATTCATTTGCCAGAGGGGAACCAGGAAAGGGGATTCTGTTCATGAACCCAAGACGAATGTGCAAGCCTGCACCCCGTTTAGTTCCTAAAATATTCTTCCCACCTGGCAGGCCCACCTCACCTCTAGCACTTTCTGGACCATCCTGGGGCGCACCTTCCGTGGAGGGCAGCCAGGAGTGTTTTGTTATCTTCACACTCCACACGCCTTCTCCAGAATCCCTCAGTCTAAACCGTGCTGGAAAGGGAAAGGTCTTTAATGATTTTCAGCATCAAAACTCATTTGGTGGCAAACCCAGACTAGACCTTGTGCAGTTCACGCATGTCTCTTAGTGTGGGTGTGGATGTGTTTGGCTGCAGAAATGGTGGATACGATTATGTGATGCTCCAGGGACAGACTGGCATTAACATGTGGTACATGTGTCCTTCCTTTCTTCTCAGTTTTTGAGACAAGGTCTTATTTGACCCGCTGGTCTTAAACTTCCTATGTAGCCGAGGCTGGCCTTGAACTCCTTATCCATCTGCCTCTACCTCCCAAGTGCTGAGATTACAGGTCTGTGCCTCCATGACCGGCTATATATACTTCCTCCAAAGATTTGTTTTTAATTCTGTGTGTGCCGGTGCCTGGGTAGGCTGTGAAAGAACAGTGAATCCTCTGCAGCTAAAGTTACAGGAGGGTGTGAGCCATTCAGTGTGGGTACTGGGAACTGAACTCAGGTCCTCTGAAGGAGCAGTCCTCTCTCCAATCCAGGCTATATAAGTTTCTAAACTCCCAGATATCCTCTGGCTGCACATGACCTCAATGACTCCCCAAGCACCATGTTCCTGCTGGACTGGCCGTCTCCTGGCCTGGGGCACATGGCTTGTTTCCATTCATATTTTTGGTGGGTGGAATCTGTCGCTGGCTTTTTACTCTGTCTCGTCTAAGGGGTTGAGGACGCTGGGAGTCACTTATTCTTGTATACAGGTTAGACCTTTTAGATTTTGTCTCTGCTGGGAGAAGGAAATTTGGAACAAGTGGGTACTTTGTAGATGGGGACCAAGTGTGAATAGATGGGGGACAGAATAAGACGAGTCCCAGACATTCTCAGATAGAGCAGACAGTAGCAGACAACCCAAAGAACAGGCAGGTGGATAGAAGTGGGGAGGACCTAAACACAGAGTGAGGCCAGGCAGGACAAATAGATGGCTCATAACGCTGATGCACAGAGGACAGCCATCTAGTGGCCATCACTGTTGTTGTTTTTGTTTTTTCCCAAGATTTGTTTATTTGTTATGCATCCAGTGTTCTGGAAGAGGGCACCAGCTCTCATTACAGATGGTTGTGAGCTACCATGTAGTTGCTGGGAATTGAATTCAGAACCTCTGGAAGAGCAGCCAAGAACCTCTGGAAGAGCAGCCAGTGCTCTTAACTTCTGAGCCATCTCTCTAGCCTCTAGTGAGCATCACTTTATATGAACTCCCCCCCACCAAGTTTCCCAAAGCGATGGGGCACCAGGAGGAGGTCTTGTATCCTTTGCTCCCCAGATCTAAACAGAAACTACAGATTCCAATAGGTGGGGTATGGCAAAAGTGTGACTCTATGGAAAGTGCCACCCACCACCCAAGAAGGGTCCAGCAATGGCTTTCTAATCACTTTTTTGATCACTGCGAGGTCGGGGGGCTTCTGAGGGATGTTCCCATTTTGGTTTTATTTCTTTAATTTGTTTGTTTGTTTTTGAGACAGTCTCACTATATAATCATGGCTGGCCTAGAACTCACTCTGTAGACCAGGCTGGGCTCAAACTCAGCAAGATCCACCTGCCTCTTTCTATCCAATGCTGGGATTAAAGATGTGTACCACTGCATCCGGCCCTTTCCTATTTTTAAAGACTCCTGGTTATTTGCAAAGAGGTCCCTAAACATGGCTATATGGATTAACTTAAAGGCGTGAAGGGTGAGGTCTTTCTCAGCTGGGAGAGAGCTTCCCAGTAGCTCACCTAACTGGATCAGTAGCTCCAGGAGCGCCCCCTGCTGGGTGTGGCCCGCTCAACTCCAGACTGTGCGGTTAAGGAATGATAAGCGCTTAATGCGCCACCTGGCGGCGATGGCGGGAAGCGCCAGTGAGCCAGGCCTCCAGAGCCGCGTGTCCGAGCCTTGGCTCCTGGCTGCCCAGGCAGCAAGGGGTTAAGCTGTCAACCGCACGAAGTTAAACAGGTGTCAAAGGCGCCCCATATATCTGCAGATTGAAATCAAATTCTTTGCCGTATAAAAAGATAAATTACCCAGGCGCTGCCGCGCGTCCCACTCATCACGCCAGCGCCAGACGGCAAGCAATTTTTTTTTTTTAATGTGCTAACGACCTAATCAAGCAATCAAGTCGGAGAAGATTGCAGAGTGACCGGGGCAGCCATCTGCCGGCGAGCCCCGCATTCATTTCTGCGCCCCCGCACCGGGTGGGGGCCGGGGAGGGAGCTGCCGGCGGGAAGTGGGGGAAAAATCCTAAACAAATTAACACCCAATTTTCCTCGTCTAATTAGTTAAATGAGAAGTGTTTGGGGTCCCTCGGGGAGGGGGAGCAGCTCACGGTGAGGCGATCACTGCCTCCCCAGCATTAATTAGTGCGGGTCAATGCTGCGGCTCCCGGGAGAGAAGCTGCTTTAATTTCCCGTGATATTTCAGTGCCTGAGGCCCATCGATTCAAACTGAAATTAACTTATTTTTCAATCAGCCTAGGGCTGCCCCTGGGGGTGACTCTTCTTTTGCCGCCTCCTGAAGAATAGAGCAGGAGCAATTTTTCATCAAAAGCTGATACCTTGGCCGCCCAGGGCGGGGGAGGGGCCCGCAGGGAAGGGCGGGGGCGCCAGAGGCGAGTGAATGGAAGGCGCCCAGGAAACTGCCTTTCTGTTCCTAGTTTCTTATCCTGTGGTCAATATGGGACCAGAAATGCCCAGGGCCTTCCAGGCCCACCAGTTTCCCCCAAGAGAGCTTTGAGGATGGATAAGTCCAGGGAAACTGGGTTCTCTCAGCTGCTGGTCTCAGGAAGGCTGCTTGGGGGAGGCGAGACACCCTGATCCCCTGAATAGGGCTGGATGCTTGGATTTCCTCCTGGAAGCTCCCTGCAGTGGGATTGGGGGATATAGCTCAGTGATAGAGTGCTTACCTAGCATGGGGAAAGCTCTGAGTTCCATCTCCAATGCTACAGATGATGGTGATGATGATGGTGATGAGGCTGCAGCTGCAGACACCCCCAGGGGATCCCAGTGTCATTCATACTCAGCCCATATCAATCTGAGGCCAAATATTCCATCTTTAGGATGTCACTTACAAAAAACCCCTCTGCTTCCTCCTCCCTACTGGTCTTTGCCCCAGTGCTCTAGAGAGCATTCCTGACCCAGGAATGTCACCCACCTTTCCAAAATACCACTCAAAGTTAGGCCTGAAATGGTGGGCAGCAAAGTGTGGGGGGGGGCTATGGTGGCTCAGTTGGGACAGGTCAGGAAACATGGCAGGATCAGTATTCAAGAAGTCTGCTACCTGCTGCCAGACCCCCAGACTCCTGGATGGTGACACCTCCAAGCGTACCCACTATTCTGGGCCCCACAGACTCACATTCTTGTACTCTTCCTGGACTGTGGCAGATCACAGGGACAGGGATTTTCTCTTAAAAGAAAGAAATCTTATTTAATATGCATGGGTGTGTATTTAATGTGTATGAGTATTTCACCTGTATGTATCTTGTGTGCCTGGTATCAGCAAAGGCCAGGAGGGGGTGTCAGACCCCTGGAATTGGAGTTACTGAAGGTTGTGAATACATGTGGGTGCTGGGAATCAAACCTGGGTCCTCTGGAAGAGCAACTAATGTTGCTAACCACTGAGCTATCTCTCTAGTCCCTGGAATTTGTCCTTTTGCAGACCAGAGGGTCTATTACAGGAATGGCCTGTGGGTTGGACAGCTATGAATGTGACCCAACATGAAAGTATAAACTTAATTAAAACATGATAAGGTGAGTTGAGAGATGGCTCAGTGGTTAAGAGCACTGGCTGCTGAATTCAATTCCCAGGAACCACGTGGTGGCTCACAACCATCTATAATGAGATCTGGTGCCCTCTTCTGGCCTGAAGCCATACATGCAGGCATAACACTGTATAGTAGTAAATAAATAAATCTTTAAAAAAAAAAAGATAAAGTTTAGGTTTTTTGGGGGGGCATTGAGACAGAGTTTTTCTGTGTAGCCTTGGCTGTTTTGGAACTCATTCTGGCCTTGAACTCACAGAGATCCACCTGTCTCTGCCTCCTGAGTGCTGGGATTAAAGGCATGCACTACCACCACATAGCTGGCTTTTATATTTTTATTTAAATTTGACTGTTTAAATCTGTCTAGCCAGAATTTCATAGATAATACTGTCCTTTTGCAAAGTCAGGAGGCAGGACACACCTGTACACGGAAGGTGTGATCATTTGCAAGGCCTTGACATTGCACTGACATCCTAGCTGCAAACTGAGAACCATACTAGATCCTGCCCACCTGCAGAGCCTTGTCTGGAAGTGTGCTTAGCCTATCTTCCCAGAAGGACTTTGATTTAAAACAGCAAATAGACCCATTTTGCCCATGGGCCTCTTGATGCCATCCTCCCTGGGTTAGACATCTCGGGGACTCCAGGCGTTAGATGAACTAGGTTAAGAACCACCTTTGAGGCAGGCAGGGGTAAGGGCATCGGGCCTAGACTTCCTCAGAGCACGGCTGTGACCATTTCTCTGCACCTGCCAGGTGTGGTTCCAGAACCGCAGAGCCAAGTGGAGGAAGAGAGAAAAATGTTGGGGCAGGAGCAGCGTCATGGCCGAGTATGGGCTCTATGGCGCCATGGTGCGGCACTCCATCCCCCTGCCTGAGTCCATCCTCAAGTCTGCCAAGGATGGCATCATGGACTCCTGTGCCCCGTGGTTGCTGGGTAAGAGCCCGCGCCCTCCTTGGGGGCCCCGCCCCTGTGGTGAGGAGAGTGGGCTCCCTGGGGGTGGGGTGGGGTGGGGAACTGAACCCTATGTGGGGAGACCTGGGCCGCAGTGACCCAATGGGAGATAGGTCTTCCAAGCACACCATCCTTTGCACCTACCTAGGGTGTCAAGACTCCCATTCTGGAATCAGTGGCTTCTTTTGTCCCGCGGAGAGGACGTGAACTTTGCCCTAGACTTTGTATTCCTTTCTCCCTGACTAAAAATGGGCTTATAGTGAATTACATAATCTCCCTTTGTGGGTTAAGGGGACTCCCATGTCCCTTTGGCCACCTCTCTTGTTTTGCCCAAGGGCTTCTTTGCCCCAAACCTCCCCATCTGCCATCTCCCATCATCTGTCATCCGGGACCTGTGACAAAGGGAAAAGGGGAGGTGCCCTGAAGGGACAAGGCAGGTTGGGGGGAGGGGTGCTCAAGCCCAAGGGTTGGGTGTAGAGAACTCTGCTCAAGGCCTGGTTCCCAGTTGGTGCCTGGAATTGCGTCCCCACCAGCCACCTTCTCAGCCCCTGGCCCTGGTCCGGTTGTGGGACTTAACTGTGGTATGTGAAGAAAGGGTTTCTGCCCCTCCTTAATTCTGGCCTCTCTCTATCTTTGCCGTTTTCAGTTCAAGATGGCTTTCCCAGGCGCTTTTCTAAACCCGAATACCAACAATTCTTTTTAGGGATGCATAAAAAGTCGCTGGAGGCAGCAGCTGAGTCGGGAAGGAAGCCCGAGGTGGAACGGCAGCCCCTGCCCAAGCTCGACAAGATGGAGCAGGAGGAAAGGGCCCCGGATGCCCAGGCGGCCATCTCCCAGGAAGAACTGAGGGAGAACAGCATTGCCGCCCTCCGAGCCAAAGCTCAAGAGCACAGCACCAAGGTTCTGGGGACTGTATCCGGGCCGGACAGCCTGGCCAGGAACGCTGAGAAGCCAGAAGAGGAGGAAGCCATGGACGAGGGCAGGCCAGCAGAGCAGCTCAGTCCGCCACAGCTGGAGGACATGGCCTAGGTCAGGAGGAGCTGGCTCTGGAGCCAGACTCTGCTCCTCTCGGGGCCTGTGGTGCAGGGAATTCTCTCCAAGGCAAGGTCAGGCCTGGCCTCTGTCTCCCTTTCCTACACCACAGGCCCTCGGTTACCCCATCAATCCTAGGCACAGGCCAGTTCTGGCCGCAGCATTGGACCGTGCTGAGACATCGTACTCCTGACTTTATCATCCTCTTCCTCGTCCTAACAGCCTGCCTCTGGAGCCTTCTTGCCACCCCTAACATCAAGGTCCTGCCACTCTTCCTTGGTGACTCTTGGTTGTCCAAGCCTACCCCTTGCTCTCTGCTCTCTAGTGTTCCTTTCCAGCTCATCTCCTTATGGACTCCGCCAGCCCATGTCTAAAGCCTGTTGCTGTACGCCCACAGCCTGGCACAGCAGTGACTGGTACATCAGCTCTGGCGTCCTGAACACCCCAGGTCCCCTCCCGCTCCATCTGTTCCTTCTAGCAGGCCTGGACCTTGGGTCCTGCTATGTGAATATATTGTTCTGCTGGTCCATGTGTAACCTCTGCATCTTCTGCCCTACCACACTGATGGGCAGATTCAAGACTAAACAGGGCAAGTCTCAGACTGGGGTTCTCCCCGACCCTGTCTCATGCCGTGCTATGATCATCCTCGGGCGCTTTCTCATACCCAGCTTGCCCTATAGGTTCCTTCCTTGCAGAGGTGGGCAAGACCAATAGGTGTCAATATATAGGCCCTGCACCCTGTGGGAGGAGCCACTTCTAGCCAATGCTGTGGCTCAAACCCTTACCCAGAGCTCTTGCACCCTGGGGCCTGTGTTTCTGAAGCATTTTGCCTCTTCTGCCTATGACTTTAATCTGCTGTTTAAGGCTTCCTTCTGCTAGAGTGTCTTGTAGCCCAGTGGTTCTCAACCTTCCTAATGCTACAGCCCTTTAATACAGTTTTTCATGTGGTGGTGACGCCCCCCCAACCATAAAACTATTTTGTTGTTACTTCACAAGTGTAATGTTGGTTCTGTGATGAATTGTAATGTAAATATCTGACCTGCAGGATATCTGAAATGTGACCCCGTGAGGGGTTGTGACCCACAGGTTGAGAACCTCTCTCGTGGCCTATTGGTTCATATGCTCCTGCTTTGGAGAAATATGGTCCAGCTTGAAGGCCACAAAACCGGCCTCACCTTGACCTAGGCATTCCTAAAAGGCCAAACCTAAAGTAAGCCTGGGCTATGCATATGTATCATGGGTGTGTGGCAAGGAAGGTTCAGGGAAAAGCTCATAGGAAAACAAGGCAGGAGGCCAGTGAAAAATCCTACACTGAGCTGCAGGCACGCATGGCTTCACAGGAGCTATTATGCCCAGAAGCATGTCCGTAGAGAAGAGCGGCGTTGGGCTAGGAGACTAAGGGGAGCTGTCCAAACTGATGGGCTCTCCACAGGCGTCCCTCCTCCCATCTTTACCGTGGTAACAGGTGCACACAGCCTATGGCGTCCTCTGCCCCCCCCCATGGATTCCCAGGCCAACCACAAGGCCCCCTTCAGCCTGTGAAGTTAGGCATCCCACCCTCCTATGCAGGGACTGCTTCACAAGAAAGGCCTGAGACGGGGAGTTGTGATTTTCAATCTGTTTTGACAGTTGGTTTCTTTCTTCCTTTCGTTCACAGAACGCTCCCGCTTCCACGTTCTTGTCTTCTTCCGGGCTGAGATGTTAAACTCTAGCCCTGGTGTGTAAATAATGTACATTGCGTGAGAAGGAAGAAACTGGATATTGAGGTGTTCGAAACATTGAACTGTCATAACTTTTAGGTATTCAAAGCATAATTTCCATGCTGTTTTCTGTAAAGACACAAGCAAGAATAAAATTCATGCACAGACTGCTGGAAATGAACCCAGGAGCCCTCTCTAGGTGGGGCCAGTTGCCTCTGTGTGTTGGTGGGTGGCATAAAAAGTAAATTCACAAAGATTTTTAGGTTCAAACTAGGTTTTCTCTTTCAAAATTATTCCAGACTTCAGCCAGGAGACAGCTCACACCTTTAATCCCAGCACTTGGGAGGCAGAGGCAGGTGGATCTCTGTGAGTTCTAGGCCAGCCTGGTCTACGAATTGAGTTCCAGAACAGCTAGAGCTACATAAAGAGACCCTGTTTCAAAAACCAAAAGCAAAACAAATTACTCCAGGCTTCAAGGAATAACTTGCTGAGCTCATACCACATCTATGTGACATTTGTCACTGTATTGTGGGACCATTTTCCATTGCAAGCCCAATTTACATCCCCTGAGTTACTGCCTGTATAGGTCCTTGCTGGTCCCCACACAGAAAGGAGACATTACTTTTCCCGTCTGGCCCTACTTTCTACTCAAGGCTGTCTTTCTGGAGATGCTCACAGCCTCACTTCATTTAGTGCACACCTGTGTGCTTATGTGTCTCACCTTCAACCTGTACTGCAGTGATAGGAAAGGTACAAGCATCAGATAATGTTAAACGCCTGCCAGAGAGGAAGGGGGAGCAGAGAGATGAAGACCCAGCCACTGAAAGTGCTTGTTGCTCAATTCTAAGGACCAGAGTTCAGAGGCCAACACCAGCATGACAAACCAGGTGCCTTGCAAAATGCCTGAGACTCCAGCTCTGAGGAATTTGACACTCCCTTCTGCCTCTGTACCCAAAGGTACAAGCATTATGCATGCACACGTGCACACACGCACACGCACATACACACTCACACACCAGACACATCACATAAACACACAAAGAGACAACAGACACATATCGCACAAACACATAGAGACACACACAGACATATACATCACACACGCGCGCACGCACACACACACACACACACACACACACATTTTAAAAAAGGAGGAAGGGACAAATAAGGAACAGCTCTCAGAAGGTGCATGAAATTGCCTGCTGCGACAGCTGTGACCCGCAACTTGATGATGTCTTGGGAGGAATTATAAGATGAGAGAGCACCGCGAGCCCACTACATGGGTGGTATTTGGGCTCAGGAAATCTCTTAAGGTTGTTTCAAACTGGCTCAAGTCGTGGAACTCCCTGGCAGAAGAGATTGCTAGCAGCCCATCGAGTTGAATGACAGGAGTGGGAGGTCTCCATTCTGATCAGGCCCGGATGTGACCCTCCTCATCCTGGAGCTGAGGGTATGGACGGGAACCAGCTGGCTCCTGGCTCCTATGTAGTGATGGGACAAAACTTGTCCTACCTGATTGGGTTCCCTGTACAAAGGAGGTCTCTTGTGCATTCACACCCTTAGTCTAGGCAGGCCCTTCCTCCTTCCTACACACACACCAACTCTCTAGGAAAGCACACTGCCCCTCCCAGTCCCTTCAGTCCGGTGTCTGGCCTCCACCCTGTCACAGCACCTGGCACACCGCACCATTCTGGCATTTCCCTGTCACAGTGTAATTTTTAATTTGCAAGTCTATCTTCCCCACCAGATTGATTCCCTTAAGGGTAGAGTCCACATCTAATTCATCCTTTGATCCCAGGACTCATCAAAGGGTCTGCTACTCAACCGTTGTTAAATGAACAGATGGATGGGTGTTCTACCTATAACTTATTCATCAATAACTTAACAAGATCTTCTGAGTATATAATGTGTATGAGCTCTCATACTCATCAACCTCTAGCGTGTATCATCGGGAAGGCACTGGGCAACAGTGGTAGGCAGAGCAGTCCTGAGTGTCTGTTCTCATGGAGGTTATAGTCTGGGGAGAGACACTGATTCCAGGAACCACAGGTAAAATAGCAAAGGCCCTAAGGGACGCATAAGGGACCACAAAAACCAAAAATACAGTGACATGATCATCTGGGGGACCCTGGTCGAGGAGCTTCGCCTTTGAACCCCTTGCCTTTTACTTTCTGCTCTCATAGCTCTGGAAGGAAGAATGAAGGACACTGGGAAAAGTCCCACAAAATCACCATGCCAAGGTCTGATCCCTTGGCGGCTGCTCCACCCCTGGGTCGATCTGGGTGACAAACTGGGATAATCAAGATGTTTGGGGGATGCTAGCAATCCTCTTGGACAATCACTCAGGTCCTGGAAAGAGGCAGGCACAGGCTACCAACCAGCAACAGGAAGCAAGGGGCTGGCTACTGCTCACCAGATAATCAGTGGCAGAAAAGCTGGGCAGGAAGGGCAGATGGCCAGGCCCAATCAGGGCAGAGCACACTGTTGCCCAGGTGCAGACCCTGTAACTCCACCCCTGGAAGGGCTATGGCACTGGAGCCCTAGCCCCACTGGCTGCCCAGAGAATGTGCAAAAAAGTGTCAAAAAGGGCAGGAGAGACTGACTGATTGATGAGGGCTGTCCAAGAGCTGCTGCACGGGCCTGGCAGGGGCAGATGAGGAGGAGGCCAGCTGGGGGCAGGAGAGGGGTGAATGGGAACTCCTGAAGTCAGAGCCTGTGGCTTGGAGAAAAACGCTAACAGGAGAGCCTTGCTTGGTCTGTGTAACCGTTGGGACCTAGTTTCCATTGGGCGCTGGCCTCTCCAGCGTCCTATGTCACCCGCATCGCCACCCCACGCTGGCCTTGGGGGTCTTTCTCTTTTTCCGTGAGAGGTGCAGTGCTCTGCCTTCCCAGACAGCCCTGGGGTGCAATGACACAGGAATTATGTGGACAAGACAAGAAACTGTTAGGACGGATGCTGAGCTGAGCAGTAATGGACACAGAGTATGCTCAAAGGCCCACATTCTCCAAAGGGTCTCTTTCCCCACATCCCGTGTCCCTGCTCCCCATGATGAGCTATGTATGAGTCAGCAGTAAGCCTGCCCATGGTTCCCATGTGTGCAAAGGGAGCAAGTCTCTGGGAAGGGGAGGGTGGTGCAGAGTAGCATGAAAGACAAGGCAGGAACAGACTTTTGAGGCAGGCAGAGTCCTCCCTCATCTGGGGATTCCTATGCCTATGCCCAGGGGTAACAGCCTTCCACAAAAACAGTGTTGCCTGGAGACAGGAAGAATGTCAGGTTGTGACTTTAGTTAAGTGCAAACTCTCAACTCCAGCCTCTCCCGAGATGGTAGACTCACTG